ACTTCGTTTGCCATCCGGGCTCCCACGATGCGCTGAAACTTTACTGTGACGCATGAGGTTGGGCGTGGCATTTACGAATTCGTACTCTGGTCTCCTTGGAATGGCGAGCACTTCGGCATGCAACATCTGCGCCTGCGAGGAAATGCTTGAGCACATTCTACGTCATTGCCCAGCATACCAGACCAAACGACGCATTATGGAAGCCAAGCTCTGTCAGCTGGATTCACGGCCGCTTACAGAAGAGAAGATCCTAGGACCTTGGCCGACGTCTTCTCATACGCGCAAAGCCACGAAAGTCCTCTTGTACTTTTTAAGGAGCACCAGACGTCACGACCGCTTGCGAAAGAACTGAGCGAGACCGTGCTGTGTAGTCTCGAGCTGACTATTCATGCTTCTCTTTCTTACTCCTCTTCTTTTCTATATCTTTCCGTTCTATTATTCTCCTTTTCTTCCACCCCAATTGTAGGGTAGCAAACCGAGCCTAGCTTAGTTAACCTCCCTGCCTTTGCTCTCTATTTATCTCTCTCTCTCTCTCTTATACTTAGAAAAATGTCAAACTGTCCAACAGGAATTTTGGTCTAGACCTAGTTGATGATGATTGAAAATTGTTTATTTATTTATGTGATATATATTTATTTATTTATCTGCTTATCTAGAATAACCCCCAGGGCCGGAGGCCATAAGGAGGGAAGTGGTAAATTTAAAAAAACAGAATACAAACGTTAATCTGTAAATAAAATGTTAGCTAAAAGATAACAATACAAGTTGTAACTATAAAAACGACAATCAGATTGTTGTTGAGATAGTATAGTAACATACTAGAAAGAAGTAACCATAGCAGTTTTAACTGAACAAACAAGAATCAGGCAGTTTGCAAAGAAAAAAAGAACATAATTAGTTAAATCCATAACCATACATTTCAGTTCAAAACTTCATGAAAATGATAATAATGGGCAACGGACGTGGTTGACCCTGGCAGATCGTTCCAGTCTTGTGAGGTTCGGGGAATGAGTGACTCACAACATGTTCGAGTTGAACATTGCAAGATTCTAACCTTCTGGCGATGGTCAGGTTGACGCACAAGTATAATGAATGGAGAATGTTGTTATCATGCATGGCGTAACTACAATATATTTTGTTAAAAAGACATATGCGGGAGAATTTACGGTGACAGGCAAGTGACGGATGCTAAATAGTCTTTCATTGGAGGGCTACTTGCGGTGTGACTGTAGTTCCCAAGGATAAAGCGGAGAGAATTATTTTGGGCTAGCTTTAGAACAGATGTTTGTACACTAGTACACGGGTCCTAAATGAATGTGGCATATTCTAGTTTACTTCGTATAAAATTTTTGTAAACGAGAAGTTTTAGGGGACAGAAGCAGAAGAATATTTGCATTGGAGATAACCGAGTGGACGGTTGGCATTACTAATGATTTTGTCATTGTGAACAGACCAGGTGAGAGTTATGTGAACACCTAGGTAGTGATAGGATGTCACGAAATCAAGAGTGGAGTTGTCAAGCCGATAAGTAGTGGAGAAGGAAGATGTGCGGAAAACGCGTAAGACTTTACATTTAGTAGTGTTATGTATCATTAGCTAGGTTTTACACCAGTTAGATACAGTGTAAGGTCATTCTGAAGTATTATTAAGTCGTTTGGGTCAGAGGTTTTTTTGATATATTACACAATCATCTGCAAACAAATGCGTGTTAGAGGTATTAAATTCTGGTAAGTAAATATTATAATTAAGGAAAACAAGGCAACCGAGTACCGAATATTAGGGTACGCCAGAGTGAACGGGACTTTGTTGGGAATACAAGTGTTAGCAGACACATATGGTGAGCAATCGTTTGGAAAACTTCCAATCAAAAAAAGGGGCTTAATATCAATGTCTATCCTGCCTAATTTTATCAAAAGTAATTTGTGGCCAACTTTTAAAGGCTTTGCAAAATTGAGAAAAATACAATCAGATTTGGAACGATGATTAAGTATGGTGTGTAATTTATGCGTAAATACAGCCAGCTGTGTTTCACAGCACAAAGAATTGCGGAAGCCATGTTGAGCATTTGAAAAAAAATGACTTCGCATCTAGGAACATTGAAATATTAGTGACAAGGACATATGTTAAAGTATTTCACACGCGATACTGATTATTGAAATAAGCTGGTAGTTGAAGGAATAGTTTTATTTCCAGATTTATGCACCGAAACCGCATTTCGAATTTTCAAATCAGGTGGCATCATTGATTCGCCAATGAACTGATAGACTATTTTGACAGAATAACGTTCGAATATGCCATGGTACTTTTGGAAAACCTAGCATTATTGAAATCTACTCCTGGTTTTAAAGCCACTTTCAGAGATTCGCTATTTTTTCTAACCCAAGGGGTTGAATGATAATTTGGTCAATAATAAAAGGTTAAAGCACTGCAAATCAGGAAACATCGCACACAATTACGTAACAATGTTATGACAAAAACTTCGTTTAAGACTGTAGGACAGTCGGCGAGTGGAATCGTTCAAACAGAAAGATTTGATAACACGATTTCACTATCTCGATCGGAGTTCATGATCTGCCAGAACGTTTTTGGGTCATTACAAAGCATTGTAGGCAAAGTGATATGTAGAAAATTATTGTGGGCTGTCCTAAGCGCAGAAACGTGTGCATTATTTGCCTTCTTGTATGAGATTCACCGCATTTCAGAAGAAGAGTGTTTGGCCGAAAGAAAGAATCATTTTTTAATTTCTGTTGCAGAGTCGTATGTGTGAGTGTACCAAGATGCCTTTGAATGAAAGGAAATAGTGCGCATTTTAACATATCTGTAAATTAAATTGTGGTTTTTCGGTGCAAGCATATTTTAGTTAGATTCTGTATTCCGACTTTCGAAACCCAACAAAGCGCCCACGAAGCTTGACAGTTCGTTTAAATAGGCGCAAAGTTGGCTTTGTTGAAATTACGGAGGTTCTTTTATACTTCAAGCTTTGGAGGCTTGACATACATTATTTGAAGGTTGGGGCTAAATGGTTACTCAGACCAGGTAGCTATGATAAGTTCGCAACCGTGTCCAAACAGTTTGTTAACACAACGACGAGTGTGTTCCTAGAATTGTAAGCTAACCTAGTCGGATGTGAAATGATGTGATTTAGAGAAACTTCTGAGCAGAAGTTAAGGAAACTGAAGCTTTTCGAAGGAAATAGTTTTGATACTGCATGATCAGAGGACCACAAGATCTTGGGGAAGCTGAAGTCTCAAAGAAGAAAATTGAAAGCTTTGGGATGACGTGAAGTGATGGTATCGATGGCTTCATCTAAATCGGCAACACAGCTCGCCGAGTTGTTGAGGGGACGAAAGAAGGGCTCCAATACAAAGCTTTTGTAGCATATGTGTGCACGCACTCAATCCACCACAAGCATAGATTTAAGTGGGAGAAAACAAGGTCGAATACTTCTTGAGAGAGCCAACATGACACCGCCTACAACACGAGATTCTAAATTGCAGCGGTAAATGGAAAAACTGTGCGCGTCCTGAAATATTTTGTTGTCCGCAAAGCCTGAGAGAAGACAGATTCCAGCTTGATCACTGTTTCCGAAATCGCACGTATCAGTTATTGAGTCAAGTGAATCACGCTTGTTAACTCCACTTCTAACATTTGCCAGAAGAATAAACACACTAGACGGTGCTAAAAAATCACCATAACCCCTCGCGCGTACCTACATATTGCCACGTTCCATTTCCGAAGTTTTTGTTATTGTCCCAAAACACCACACGATTCTCAGCGCAAACCGCGCCTGCGGTTTTCGAGAAAATTCCGGACTGTAGTAGATCATTTCGATAAGATCACGGCCACTGTGCGAATGGTACAGATTGTTCTGGAACCTACGCCACCGCCAGCGATAATGGTAGAACATTCGACGGCAAGAGTATAAATGCCGACGCGCTTCGCCACTTGTCAGTTGTTGATCGAAGGCCGACGCTCCGTTCGCCGCTATCAGTCCGAGACTGCTATCTGTGCGAGACTCCTGCTGTAATTGGACTTTCCGTTTACCGGGCACAGGTTCGCCCAAATAAACAGTTAAATCCCAACACGAAGTCTCCTGTCTTCGGCCACGTCACGACCCCGTGACAACTCGCGGAGTTCGATAACTCTAGTACCGTTAAAATTGTAGTAATTTAAACAATGAGCTTGTTGTACCGCAACTGAAACTTAGGTGAACCAGGCAAACTCTTGACAAATTCAGCAAGTCTTCTTCTATAGCAAGGCGTAGTTTCGTAGTTGTATTCTTCTAATTTTTGTGACCACACAACATTATTTTCAAATAAAGCAGCATTGGAAGGCTACCGCATAGGTCATAGGTAATTTAATCTCCTCGTACGAAGCGTGCTTGACAGCCAGCTTTGAGTGCGCTGTTTTTGTAGAACAAACCAGACATCAGTTTCAGCACATGTGCACATATGTTTGAATGAGGGCGTTCCGAATAGAGGTGGTCACATTGGTCACTCTAGAAATAAACTCTCTCAGTAGATTTTTTTATGAAACACGTTCCTAAAAAAAGAAATTGTTTTAAAGCTTTGTTTCTTAACGGCCCATGGGTGACAAATTTATTGGGTCCACGTTCTCACAATTGGGTTAGTTTTTGCTGCTTTTGAACGCGATAGATCGAGCGCTCTTGGTTTTAGCATTCATCATGCAGTGCAGTGCTCGATATGAGGCGTTTCCTGGTTTGCTAACACACACACACACACACACGCACACACACACACACACACACACACACACACATGCCCGTTCGTACACAAACATGCATACCTACTGTTTGAAGGAAAGAGTCGAGAATTCAATTGCACCGCTTGACAATCAAGTAATAACCCAGATGATATGTAATCAGTAAAGTGAATCAACCAACTTCACAAAGCCGGAAGAAGTTTTGACAATAAGTGCATCAGGCGTACCACAAAAGGTATATATTGCCAGCATTAAAGCTTTGAAGCCATTGTAAAAAAATGAGAGAATTTTCGAGTGCCGCTTTAGGTGCAGTGGCCGTCCTGCTTGTAGCCAGATCTGATGCTGGCAATGGACCTCATGTGCTGCAACGCCAAGCACCTGACGCTTTCGAGGTAAAGAGTGCTGGTTTACCGACAATCCGAATTTGGCAACTATAGTGTTGTTTTTATCCTACAAAAAAGAGGTTTATCTGAAATATTTCTAGGGCATATAGTGTATATCACTTTGTTCACCGTAGCCGTTGCTGGATCTCGAGTGTGTATTTTTTTCATTAATTTCGTGCACAGCCTTAAGTTACACAGTAGTTTTCGAAAATTTTGCATCTCTTCACTGTGGCTTGCCTCGTAATAGTAATGTGCGTTTTCCACGTAAGAAACTTCAAATAAATATTATTATCTTAGATTTGAGACGCTCCAGAACGTACAAATTCAGTGAACGTGTAGCAGTGCATAAAAACAATAAGGTGAGCGTCTGCAGCAGGCAATTTTTATAGTTAGTTTTAGGTAGTTCGTTTTTCTGCAACGTCATTTTCCCTACTAATGGTGGCTATCAGCATACTGCGAAGTTTGTATGTTGGTGCTAATCTCTTGTGCTATGTCGTGAGAAATGTAGACTCGGCTCTCTTGATATAAACCTCTATGATAGTGTCGTTTAGGACTCTGTCTCTATTTGAAAGAAGACAGGTGACACCATGAGTTAGGAGAGTATGCAGTCTTGAGTGGGGTAACATATAACCTGCACGTATGGCATTTCTGCACGTTACACCGAGCGCGAGGCTTCCTGAACGGGATGCGTATTGCTGAGACTATATGGTGAAGAAACAATGCAAGTAAATCTGCATTTCCTTGCGTTCAGGTCTTCGCCGCATTCCCTTACGCTGTGGGTATCTCTGATACGAACAACGACACTATCTTCGAATGCCTGTCGGCGACGCGCAAAGATTTTGATCCTGTGGCTAAAACGGTGACCTATGTGTGGTCACTCAGCGATGGACCAGGCAAGCGGTAAGCGTTGCGCGATTCGGCTTGAGTGAAAATGTGACAAAGTCCAAGACGGAAAAAATAGTTGAGTGAAGATTTGCGTGTGTATGTCTAACGTAACATGTTTCATCATTTCTCGCATTCTTATGCATTTTGCGATGCTTTCTCCTATTTATATTCCGCCTCGACGCTGGAAATAATACCTTCATGAACTTGCCTAGCAGCACAACACTAACTTCAGCCGTACACAACGAACTGCAGCGTTCATTAATAGGCAACACTTGAATGTCATTTGACCTCAATAAAAAGTGCAATTGACTTGCGCCAGAAGTAACCGACAAGTGCGACATTGAGAGGAACTATTATTGGAAAACAGCATATACGATGATGAATGTTTTCGTGCACTATCGGAGGGTGGATTCGTTTTGCACTCTCTATTGCCACGCTTTGTAACAGTTGAGCAGTTCTAAGTAGAAGCTTTAATGTCCGAGGTCATTGTAGAACCGATCACGTGCGCTTGTATTGTGGCGAAAGTTGGTGTTGGTATGATGAGGAAGGCTGTGATATGCCTGAAAAAACGTGGGCTTATTACGACAGGTGTGGGTGGAGGGTGTCGAAGTGAGAAATTTGCTTCGAGAAAAGCGCCAAAAGGGGGGTGGTGGTGAGACACTGTGAAACGTAAGATGGCGCGTCAATTTCAGTATTCAGGAGCTCCCGCTTTCAAAGTGGCAAACACTTCTCATTTTTCTGATGAATATGCCGCCCATAGTGAGCATAAGCGAGAATTGACACGAGAACGCAAAGGTTGTCGCCGAGCCAACTGCGATGTTCGCGCAAAGATGATTGAAGCCAGGCGCTATGTAACGGAAGACTTGAAAAGTCCACGCAGTTGAACAAAATTATTTATCAAGAAGGGGCAAAGCTCTCGATATCATATTGGTGAGCATCTGTTCGTTACCCGAGTGTTACTTATACTCCTCAGTTCCAAGAATGCACCAATGAAATGTAACCTTTTGCAAATCTATACTTTTTCACTTTCTGCTCTTAGACACAAACGCATTGAAAGTATGAACCCGAAAAACTGAATGGCTGTGCCAAAATGTCCTGATACACATTTTTTGTACTAATAATCAATTGAAGCCTCTAGAATAGAGTGCAACAAAAACATCAGAGCAAAACTACAATAATTATTATCTAAAGAGCATCCACATTCAAAGAATGTACTATAGACGGTGTAGTTCACGCGACAAGTAAGAAAAAGAGCCTTCACTTGTCGCAGGGACAACCTCTCATGCAGTACGCATCCGAGCATTCGTACAGTACTCAGTCATCATGTTCACTCATTTTTCGGAATTTGACAAAAAACATTGCGCCACTTTTTGGCGCTTCGTGAAAGTGACTCATCCTTATTGTACCAAGACAAATTTCGACACTCAGATATTGAGTTGTGATGATCTGCTGCCTTTAAAACAACGGTACTTACTTGGGTACCCAGGGTTCAAAGAGTCTACTTTACAACAAATTTAGTTGCATAAAGGCTAAATAAATGCATGCGCGCGCAGGCTCCAGAGCGACGCATTGCGCAGATTTTTTGCACAGTGGCACTGTCAGGGAGGCAAAATAGTCAGCCACGCGTTCACGCAGGGGGCCACCGGGTAAAGAAAAGCGTGCAGAGCAATATATGTGGGGTTGAACTTCTCTAAACCACTATATGAATACGAGAGCCACCGTAGGGAAGGCCTCCGGAAATTTTGATCACCTGGGGTTCTTTAACGTGAACCCAAAGGTCTGAACCTTGTTAACGAAGCGAGCATGAAAGCTTCCAGGCGTCTACACGGTATTGTCTACACGGTATTCTAGACGCACTGGAAACTTGACAACATACTGGGCAGAGAGTGCTTGACGTATTATCATCTGTTCTAGGTATATAAGTCTCGGAATGCGAGATTGAACGTGCATAGAATTTGTGGCGTCTCACACCAGCAAAGTGTCGCCTGTTACTATAACTTCTATTTCTTGTTAGAAATTATTCCACCTTATTTAGAAATTACCCCACCTTTAGGTCTCTTTGGCAACTCAACGAGGATTTAGAAAATAGCTGGAGTGGTGGATATGCCTTAAAAGCGAATCATAAAACCTTTCATTAAACCAGTGCAATGTATCTCTTTATTAAGTCAATTTGTTGGCTCAAATATGGCTCAACGTGTGGCTACGTTACAGCATTCTTTGAAAAGCCTCAACATCTAGGCACATTCTAACTGAAAGTTACTCCTATAAGTGCCTTCTAGAGAGGTTATTTTCAGCGAAAACGACGCTCTCTCAAATTCTAGTTGGCCTATGTATGAGCTGAAGTCTTGTGAAACATTTTAATTGAGTCACCTATGTTTTGACCACAACAACCATGACCATGACCATGACCATGACCATGACGAGAACAGAAGATAAGGATAGGTCTCAAACATTTTAGTCCTTGAAATGTAGAAGCGCGATATATCCTGCTAACTGGCAAGAATTGGCTTCGCCGTTTCCGCAGTGTTGGTGAAGTGCAGCTGGTCAGATTATTTTTTTAGCACGACGCCAACATCTCTGAATCAGATTAGCTTTGTATTATAAGCTGCTCAGCGTACTATCAAGTGTAATAATTACATCTTTTGAGTTTAACAGCAGCCTTCGAAGCTTCCTTGAAATGCAATAGCCCCGAAACTGTAATTACTCGTCATAAAAAGGTGATAAAACCAGCCTGATTTCTTGAAAAATCAATTATTGCTAATGTATTTTCTGCCATCAGCCATCTTGAGTGATTAGTCTTCTAATAGTTTAAAAAAATTAACCGATGGTTATCACTTTTTGTACGATATTTATAGTAAAGTGCGCACCCAAACACCTGAATTGCATACTTCCACTTGAAACAGTTATACCTAAATTGGCATGTTACACAGCACAAGAAGTGTACATTTATTGTATTGTTTGCTACTCCAACCATTCTCATAATATAGCCAGTCCTCTTAGCCTTCTGGTCTGTGGAGCGCCAAAATGATTAATGATACTCCATGCTCTTGCACTCTGGCCAGCTGTTGAGATACAACCGACAGACACACTTTATTTTTATTACGAAAAAATAGGCGTATACAGCGAACCAAGAACATGACCACAACAATCCTCTTATGCAAGATCTTGGATTAGTGTGAATGTGGATGTGGAGTCCTAGGATGACAGGAAGACAAAAGAATCCCTTTTAAAGAAAAAGTTGTCTTAAGGGCAAGGTTTTTGATGCATTTGGCATGCATGCACACGTTTTTAGCCAAAACATATCTGAGGCACCAAAAAAGTTTAATAATAGACTAATAAATATGAATGACTGTGTGACAGAATGGTATAAAACACCGACATAACCAAACCAAGTTATACAAGTCGGTGACCTGAGCACAGACGTTACGGACCTTAGGACCTACCTGCACGCACTTGTCATGATTTTTTTCATGGAGACACGTGGAGTTCTTTCCACTCAGTCATGTGCCGCCACGTTCCGAATTATTTGTGCAATGAACCTAGTTTTTGCATCGCCTTCACGATCAAAAGCTTCTCACCGCGCTTTGCACTGCCTTCGTGAAGAGCCCACCAATAACTATGCCGAACATGCATGCAGTGACGTTCTGATGCTATGTGACGTCACCAGACGTCCCCATTTTCAGTGTTCTGTGATGGCACGATGACATATTCTGCAACGTAATGGCGTGCTGATAGGTTTGCCCTCTAGTCTGGACGCCGACGGGAATTAACGACGCGTGATGCCAGGCGAGTTTCACGTTTGATAAAGACGCTGAGATAATTTTGTTAATTCAGCGAAACGTTGTTTAGGAAGGCTTTAAGAGTCATCGACCGCATGCTTTTAAAGCGATGTTCCACACTGTTAGGAGACACCCTAACAGTATAGAATTTATTTTTGCAGCATAACAATTCTTTAACTGTGAAGAATGTACTCTGAAATACGTTGAAAGCACCTCACGGAGAGTATAGTGTAAAACTAAACTTAAAGAGAGGGATCAAAAGCCAAGCTAATAGAATTGCAAACTTCGTTGCTGGGCACCTGTAGATAAGTAACAAGCAGAGATGCACTATTTAGGATCATATATTATTTAGGATACGTCGAGGCGGGCATATTTCTCAGTCCAGCAAATGGTTTATGATTTGCATGTTCGCGCTAATAAATCACACTTCAGGGCAAATTATAGCGGGCATTGGCGACCTTCACCAGTCTTTGAACTTTCTCTACATGCTAAAACAGCTGCGTCGATTGGAAGAGCTGATGACCATAATTCTGGTAATACCTCTCTTTTAATACGCCAGTATATACTCTAAATGTTCCTGTAAATCAAAATGTAGTGTGTAATATACATTGTCTGGGTTCTGCACTTGTAGTGTAAAGTATTTATAACAAGTTTATGTCGTTTTGCGTTGGACGATGTATTCAAGACCAAGCATTACACTTGCCCCGCCGTGGTGGTCTAGTGGCTAAGGTACTCGGCTGCTGACCCGCAGGGCGCGGGTTCGAATCCCGGCTGCGGCGGCTGCATTTCCGATGGAGGCAGAAATGTTGTAGGCCCGTGTGCTCAGATTTGGGTGCACGTTAAAGAACCCCAGGTGGTCTAAGTTTTCGGAGCCCTCCACTACGGCGTCTCTCATAATCATATAGTGGTTTTGGGACGTTAAACCCCACATATCAATCAATCAATCAAGCATTACACTTGCAGGAAGCACGTTGGATTTCACCACACGGCTGGTGCGACTCCGGATGCAACAAACTTCACAGTTGGCAAAAGTGCGTACATATATATGCCACATTTATTTCATTGTCGTTGTTGCGCAAGTCTACTTTTCGAGTGGGTCTCAACGAATACAACGAAATATATACTTACTTGTTCGTTTATTCATCTTCAAATGTTGTGGCCTTATACAGGGGGGCAAATACACTGGCGGACTACATTTTTGCAAGAAAAATGAAGTATTAAGTTAAGAAAGATGTAATAACTGCGATGATTAGGAAAAATTAGAGGACCCTAAACCTTCACCTTTAGGAGTTGAACGCATTAGCCTTTTCCCGTTTCTAGTGCGAACTTCGAACAGTTAGTCGCGAAATCTTCTAGAATTTGATATGCACCCACTAAATGGCCTTGCGAGAGTAGGCGCAGTAGCGTGTATGCCTTTTGTAGTGGGGTGCTAGCTTTCAACCATGGATGCATAATGATAATCGCATATTCTGACGCCCGTTGACAATGTATGCTTATACCATGCATTATTACTGTAATATTCCATGTTCCATTGTGAAGCATGCATGCAGGGCATGTGTAATTGTGAAGCATGAAAGCTACTTTCACAGAATTTCCAAGCCGAGGAACTTATAAGCGGATGTTCTACCGTGTGGTAGAACATCCGCTTATCACGCAAAAGACCCGGGTTCGATGTCAATTCAAGACTGAGACATCTATTGTAACGCTAAGCAAAAAAACGCCCCCTCTCCCAAAAACAAATCGCCAGGAAATGCATTCTTGAGCCCAGAGTACATGCCGTAGTAATTTTAATGGCGTAAAATATTAACCTGACAAGGATTTGTACCGTAACCATTTATATACACATTCATAATGCTGTGAACGGTTGAGAGTGAGGCGCCGCTTTACTCTTTATATACGTACGAGAGAGCGGGCGGGAGAGTGGGAGGAGCAGCGAAGCATTGCATCTGCCCTCCCCTACACTGCCTCCACACACGCGGGATCTCCGCAGAGCTCCCGCGATGCTAGCGCCCTCACAAGCCAGAGCGCGCTCCTCGTCTTCGCTCACTCTGCGCTACTCTGCCCGCACCACCTGCTTAGAGTGTACTAGAAGTGTTGAGTGGCGAGACCGCGCTTCGCCGCTTGATCCCTCCCGCGTTGCCCGTAGCGGTGGCGCTCCCGCCGAATAGTACTGAAAGAGCCGCGCGCCGCGTGCAGGAACTGCTATGCGTTTCGGCTCTTCCGTCGCGCTTTCTTAATTCAAATTTCTTCGTACCTGCCCATCATTGATGTCTATCACATATGTCATTGTCCTTGAAATATGACAGGCCAATCTACTGAACTTGAGCTCCATAAAAGCCCTTGTAGAGATCGAAAATAATTCAGAAAGAGGGTGTTTTAAACTGATTTCTTCTGTCTTAACTCTTTCTTCATTGGTTACGCGTCTACAATATATAGAATAACTTAGCCGATATATTGGGAGTTAGCTGCGCTCAGAAAGCTGTGAGATTTTTCAAAAATAGCGTTTCAAACGCATGCAGAACCAGGAGGCCATTAGTAGAGAGGAGCGAGGGAGAACCTTTTCTTCGTAATTTAACTTTTTAGGGTATACTAAAATATTTACATTGCATTCACAGCGACCACCAATTGCAAACGTTCTGCTGCACTTTCCACTACCCACTTGACCACCGTGGCGGGGTTGTGTGTGTGTGTGTGTGTGTGTGTGTACGTGTACAAGTTAATTTCTCAAAACAAGATGCACCACTGCCTGCTTACACTTTTGACACTTAAAAATAGAACTATACTTACAATACAAAACATCGCCATTATTTTTCCGACTTGCAATGGCGTTACGCCAATAGATTATTAGGAAAGTAGCGCAATTTAAACTGTCGATACAAAATGAGAACTGGTTACCATGAATTTACACAAATCAGTAGACAGGCTATATATACAATTGGCACTTTTTAATATGTTTGTGTGTTTTTTATTATGTTCAATAAGTAATAAGCCTTTCCAAAAGCAATACTCATTATATTCCGCAAAACAGGCATGATAAAATTGAGTCGTCACCGATATAAATGCCGTAACAGCGTTACTTGTACTCGGGTTTCTCGTGAAATGATCGAGTGCATGTAGACTCATATAAGGAACGATGTGCTCTGCATATCGTAGAGCCTACCGACAAAACGAGCGTATCATTTAATAGCAGTATTGATACTTCTCCTCTCTTTGTAGTTCGCCAGTAGCCACTTATGACGTAATGCAGCTCACAGCGCTGCTTCAGTGAGAAGCTAGGCGGATCCGTGCAAAGTCCGATTGATATTTTATTTTTTGTGTGGGTTGGCAGGCTATTTAAACAGTGATTGTATCGACGCAATTAAGCGTGCCTGCATATTCACTCGTGCACCATGGCGCGTAGCAGGGGCGTTTACCGATAAAGGCACAGAAACGCATTAAACGTCTTACAAACGAGCAATTAGGCGCTTTCGCAGGCTACGGCGCACAAGCTCCCAATGCAGATGCTCCCGAGATCTTCGGTATCATAGGACAACAGCGCTGCCCCTACTGTCACCAGCCGGAGAATCAGCCGAGATGCAGCGCGGCCGCCTCGTTTGCTCCACTGCCCCTTCTAGTACACTGTAACCTGCTCCTGTTGCTAGCGGTGAGAATAACGCGCGCACGGAGCTCTGTCTATGAGAGAGGGAGTGAGAGTGGAGACAACACATCCAGGCGCGCGCACGCTGCCGAAAGCATGACATAGGCTGACTAAGAAATGCATTCGCGTTTAAAAACATTGTTTTCCCCGACCAGCAGCACCACAGGAGCCTTCGCGCTAAATCTTTGAAATGTTCGTTTCACAGATAATCCAGCGTAGGAGTCAGCATCGGTGTTGGCGAGTAAAAAAATGGCATTTTCTGTGAGCGAAACCTTAAAGGGGTTGTGCCACCATATTTGTGAATTGTGCGTTCTTTGCTGCTAGCGTTTCTTATAGTTCCAGAAAGCATGATACATGCAGCAAGAATACAGTAATCTTGATAAATAAAAATATTGTATATTTATGTGAATAATTTTTCTTTTCACTTACTGGGCGCCGAAATGGGCTGTGACGTGGCAGTGTAGAGGGCTTAGTCACGTGAACATACAAAAATATGATGCACGTCGCGCTGGCTCTCGTCTGCTTTCGCACAGACCTGCCACAAAGGGACCTGCAAAAGGAACGTGAAGTAGTTGCGATGCTTTGATGGTGCATACGTAGTGCAGATGTCCGGAGGTCCCTCACCTCATTTCAATAGGCGTGCCCTCGCCTCACTACATTAGGCGTGTTTGCCCGAATGCGAACAAAGTCAGGCTGGTACAAGATGGAAACAGGTTGAGCTGGGACAAACCTTTTTCCCCGCTGAAGGGGAAACCTGCTCCCGTCTACGCTCACTATACTTCGTTTCATACATTAGGTGCTACCCTGTGGAAGCCAGTGAAAAGGTTCGGCCAACAAAACGTCTAACTGCGCGTGTTTTGTGGTCGTTCACGTGACATCTGATTATGCCCGAGCACCCTCGCGTTTTTTCGAGCTCCCATTTGGATCTACTTGCGAACAGAAGAAAACGTGGGGTGAGCAGAAAAGAAAGCGGGTACCGAATGACTCTGTGGCGTCCTGTCCTGCACTGTCACTAAAAATCTAGGTGGCTGCCATTGTGACGTACCCAGAGTAGAGAACATTTATGTTACGTCACATTGATTGATTCATTGATTTGTAGGGTTTAACGTCCCAAACCCACCATATGATTATAAGAGACGCCGTAGTGGAGGGCTCCGGAAATTTCGACCACCTGGGGTTCTTTAACATGCACCCAAATCTGAGCACACGGGCCTACAACATTTCCGCCTCCATTGTAAATGCAGCCGCCGCCATCGGGATTTGAACCCGCGACCTGCGGGTCAGCAGCCGACTACCTTAGCCACTAGACCACCGTGGCGTGGCTGTTACGTTACGTGAAAACTAAGCTATATAGCCACATAATATTAACAGACCTTTAATGGGGTTTTTTTTAAGGCACGTAATGTTTTCAATTACTTCTTGCCATAATAACGAAATAAAAATTTCATTATCGGTGGTAACAACGTCGAAGTACTTTTGTTGAGAACGCTTTGTTTGCAAAAAGTCGCGCTAGGATCCACCACGTCACACTTGATGTGTGAAACAGAGTATACAAATCTTGTGCGACGTTACTTCATCTTTTGTTTTGCTTCCCAGAGAGCTGCGACAGTTCGGAACGCGCTTGCGGTAGGTTTGGTTGGGAGAATGAGTATTTAGGTACAATTTGCGGGTGACCTTAAATATATTTTGAACGTTTGCTGTGTCCAACCATTCGTGCGAAGTGTCCTAGCATACAGACTAAACCCACAAACTGTGTTTCCGCCTCAAAGTTTGGTGGCACCCCCCCCTTCTTTTAACATCGATTAAAATAAGTAAATAACACAAAGGGTTAGGTTTGAGTGAAAATCGAACCAGCTTTCCTTGCATATTTGACTGCTAACATAAAATAATGTGTATATAAATATACATATATGCCTTTATTCAATATATCTCCAATAAGAAAACAGTTATATGTGCTTAAAAAGGTTGATAAGAACGCTTCCTACCATCGAAGTATTTGTTTTAATTGTAGCCGTTTGTAGTTGACATATGTTTCTTCATTTCTGCGCTAATTTTGTTACTATCACTTAATAAACAAACACAGAGAGTTCCGGTGCCGTTTTCTAACCTTGGGGCCTTCCTCTTAATATCCAAGGTGTTTTGATCATAATATGAGAACTGAAGGTTTCATTCGATTTGATTTCATTTGATTTGATTGATTGCTTAAACTAGCGCCTTCTGCGGTGCAAATGTGTGCTCAAGCTCAGAGCTACGCCTATACATGAAACTGATTTTAAAATCAAAGTCTAAGACTATTGTGCAGTGGGTTAAGTCTTCTTGATGATTATGTGTGGTGTTTTAAGGGGCAACTGCCAACTGATGGCCGAAAAGCACCATTTTAATGAATAAAACATAACGTAGCAAAATTGTACAATCGCACAAGATGTCAAAACATGTGAATTTAGTAACGAGGGTGGCAGTTAATGCTGCCCACTCATTAAAAAGCGTGCAGCTGCGAAGGTTCCCGCGCCATACTTCTTCATACTGCAAAGGAAAAATTATGATGTAGTGGTCCTTCGCAACTGGATTTGCAGCAGGCATGTCGTGGTAGATTCAAACCGCCTATAACACGCACAAACACGTAACTTTGCCTACAGCACGGTGAAAAGCGATGAGCCCAGTGCGCGATCAGGATATCGCGTTACACTCTTGAAGGCAATACTTGAGCGTACTTCAAATTTCTTTTGTTGTATGAGGATAAGCTTCTGCGCAAGCAATAAGGTTCACAGGAGTCGCCTAACCAAACTTCCTTTGCCTAAAAAATAAGGGAGGTGGTCTGAAGCTTCTAAAGGTACATGCGTCAGTCATGCGATCCTAAGTAGATTTACTAGCGAGAAATACAGTTCATTTATTCGTGTAAGAGCTGCAGCGGTTCCAGCGAAATGAGAACGCTAGTGTACCACGCACTTCAGCGGTTTTCCTTTGTAGCTCTAAACGTTTACGCTGGACGTATTTAATATACGCTTTGGACGTATTTGGACGTATTTATTATGACGTATTTAATATACGCTTTCGTTACCAAGTAAACTACTTAGTTCTAGTTAAATATGTTCTACAAAAAACATGCAGACGCAACCAAGCTTAATTATGTGAGGCACACTTAGCGGTATCTTAATAGACTGCGTTGCTGTGCGAGTTGTTGCATTGTCTGAAATCAAAACAAGAGTGGGAAAACGACGAGACAGAGACGGCAAGAAGACAGGAACTATTCCTTATGCTAGCATAGTGATTCTGAACGGATACATACTGTTCTATACTAGTGAGTGTGGGGACCATTCTCTAGGTGGTGAAGTGCGTGTGGGGAGTATAGCCGTCACAGGGTAATGTCAGAGTTGCCTGTCTAAGTGCTCACATCTGTACGTCGCAGGCCCTACCACACCACTGTTAAGCTCAAGGTTATATATTGCTTAATTGTCACAAGCAACACTAAATTTTAGGAGGTTGAAATAGCTCCAGCCAAGCTCGTATTGACCCCACGACGTCTCAGCACCAAAGTGGTCTCTTCCTCAGGGAGTGCTTATGTTGCTCATAGACGCATCTCCGTCAGCAACACATTCCGCTCCTTATGAAGGAACTGATGCGGTCCTGAATTGTCGGGCTCTATACGAACTTGGCTGGAGCTATTTCTACGTCCTAATCTTCTACCCAGTCAGAGATATTTTGTTCGTGCCTCTCGTCTTTTGTGCTCTAGTTTTATTTTCAGATTTAGCGGTATCATTTGCTTTCTACCTTTCTGAGAGTCCTCATTTCACGCAACTGCATTGCTACATTGCGGTATCAATGGACATGATTGCTCCTTATAGAAGCCCTGGAACGCTTTGCTAACAAACCACTGAACAGCTTCAATAAGTAAACCTACTGCTTGACGAATGCTTCACCTAAATGTTTTTATAATTGTCAAGGACAAGTGGTGTTACTGATAATTGTCCACACTTCAATCGCTCTCTCTCTCTTATCTCGGCCGTGTCAGTGTGCTCCAAGCTAAGCAGTCAGGAATGGACACGGAAGGTAATGATTGCATCAGGCGCAAATTATCACCTTGAGCAGTTATTTTTTAGTTCATCGAACACACCGCTTACTTTGTGCATAATAGCAAGCGTACGCAGCAAGTGGTTGCCTTGCAAGGCGGCCACCCTAAGGGTGAAGCCTCCGAGGACTGAATACTCTGACCCCAACTCTGACTACTTCCAAGTGCTAGGAACGATAGAGCATACCCTTTGAGTAAGCCCAATAAACAAATCCTGCCCAGCTGCTTTTATAAAAACTACATGAGGCCAACATCAGCTCGCCCCACCCTGACGAAGTAAGACATGGAAGATACTACCCGCTAGATACTCCAAGATTCACTCAACGCAGCCTGGCGCAGCATGTGTACGATTGCACGCGCACGACGGCCATCTGTTGCCCAGCAATAATAGGCTAACTAGTTTCAGACCAGCTATTTCCCTTTCTTTAATGTCATTCCAACGAAGTCAAGAAGCAAGAGCACATTGTATATAGTTCAATAAAGCTTAGTAATATAAATTGAATCAATAAATTACGCAGTAAAATAAATCAGTCAATGGCCGTGAATTCGAGCATATGATATTGTTCGTAGAAAAATCACAAAATATTTAGCTACACTGAGAAATATTTGTAAATTTCAGGCTCATTACGGCACTGTAAAGCCGGTGTTTTCTCGGGAGCTTGGACTAACAAGCCGTCGTCTTCATTGACAATGCTGAAAACGTGTTGTAGAGTCTTTTTAAATATTGTTGGTCATCGTGTTCTAATGGAGGTATCCTCTATGCTTCTTTATATGCTTTTTACGTAATACTTCGGATGGTTAATTTTCGCATTTGTTGATCTCGCATGTCCTCCATCAAAGTAGCATAGGCTCCATTGAATTCATCTGAGACAGAGTAAAGAGTGAGAGACCAACATCCCTGAACTTCCAAAAATTTCTTATTCCTTGAAATCGCTTCCCATTTTTATAACTATTCCCAATGATTTCAGCCCACTTTGAAAGAAAAACTTCATTTACTCGGACGAAGACACAAATAAAAGGTAAAGAAGTTGTGCCGCTGCATGTGTCCCTGTTTAGAAAAGACGCTTTATTTGGCAATCATTGAGCAGAACGAACACGTCTCAAAAGTTACCTTAATAAACGCACCCCACCACGGCCAGGGGAGGAACAGTTATCACAGTAGTTTCGCAGAACAGAATTCCCGTTAGATTACAAAACTTTCTTCAGCCTAATTGTTTCTCGGTCCTTAAAGTATTCCATCACTTAGCAGTTTTCTACGTTGTCATACTTTTGTCAAACGTGACGCAGAGAAAACGACGCCATCTTCTTTAGATCCGTCTACTTAATTGTACTCTTCGACAGGCTTACTTATGCCACTCTTTTCCTCTTTTCTGTTATTCTTTTCGCAGGCACTATCATGGAAGTTGCTTATATTGTTTGGAGCGACTACAAGGACTGCGCCATAACCGACGTTCCTCACTTCGCCGAACGTAAGAACGCACTGAAAAACAAAATCACTTCAACCAGCTGACCTTGTAATGCGCAGATAGCACAGAGATCTGGAGCAGCTGTGGAACTCTCAGCAGTGAGCTACAAATCACTGATGTACTATGAACTATTTATGAATGTAGATAGTTGTCACTCGAGGCGGAATTGAGAAGCTGAATGCTGCTTATTCACAACTGTTGCTGTAAAAAGCTGTGGGCCACATGATAAGTCGGGCGAAACTGTAAAAGCCGGAGTTGGCTACTTTACCGTTTTTGCTGTCGTACAAGTACGCTATATAAGAACTGATTTCTCTCTGTATTCTACTCAGGATATTGTCAGTACTTATAGAAACTGTTCTCGAAGAATGAAAAGGGCACACACTTTGTCACGCTTGGGAAGTTTTCACAAATACAAAAAGAAAAGAAGGTGGTACTACAATGCATTTTATATTGAGTAGATATACACGATTGGTACTGCAAAAATGAGCATACCTTTTAGCCTAGTCATAGAATGCTTACTCATTGATTTCCCAGTCGTTTCCTACCGTCACCTTCGGGCTTCGAAGCATTTTTGGCATAAAAAACGGTAAATGCATATAAATTATATGAACGAGAGTTCACCATTTGAAATTTTACGGCCATGACAGTTTCTAAAGGCACCCGCCAAAGGTTTTAATTGAACTACGTCCTAAAGCATATAATATTTTCAAAAAAGAATAACTGGGTCTTTATGAGAATTGTGATAACTGTTTTTCACACCATCTGCTTGAGTGATAGGGTCTACAGCGTTTAACGTTTGCACTAAAACTGCTCCACAGCTTAGTAGCATTTGCAGAACGCGAACGAAGTAAGGGACGGTGTCTCACATTCAAAGTGCAAATGCTTTCTGCATGCGCAGTACCAGTGAGACTTTTATATTCGCTTTGTTCGATCCTTCCCATAACAGTGACGGTAAAACTGTTATAGATACGAAGGAGCTATTTCACTAGCTTGTGTAACGTGGTCCCTCCGTACGAACGCGCAGCGCGCCCCTGGTTTTGGTGCGGTGCCAAGTTGGCCACGCCACTGCTGTGTGTCGATGTGACGCTTCCCCCGCGGTGTGCGTTCCCGTCACTCTCTCCCTCACCTGCCCCACACTTGCCGTGGCATCCGCTGCTGCCGCCTCGCCCACCACTCTGCCGCGACCACCACTCTCTACACAGCCAACTCGTCAATTTGAGCGCAATAAACCTGACACGCGCTTAACGAACGCGTTGAATGATGTCTGTGTTGTCACTTACATGACCTACCCCAGCCATCGCTTCAAACGAGTCTTCCTGCTCTCACCGCAGCACCCGTGTTAGCGCCATTCAACCCGTGACGCTACCCGCGCGCAATGCTGCTGCTTCACATGCCATCAAGGTTCCCTCTAGGAAGATGGTGTTAACTTTTTGTAGTCTCTAATACATGTATTGAATAGCAAAATACCATTTCTCACATTGGCGAGCAACTCTTTCACATTCCTGGTGAAAGGATTCTTACTAAGCAAGAAAACTTTGGTGGTTATGCCACCTTTGAATTTCTGCACTATTCGCTTTCCATTTAGAGATTTTGACGGCGCATATATTGGTCTACTTAGTTATTATTCAATAATAATGAAAAAAATGTACTCTGTAAGCACCACATACTTAACAAGTTTCAGAAAGTTTCGTAGTATTATTGACGCCGAAGTACGATTACTTTGCTTTGAAATTAGTAACGTCACGCATACACATTACGGCGCCACTTTATAAAAATGAAGCGTTTAAGTAGGTGTTCTCCTCTATAAATAAAGCTATGATGCCAAAAATAATGATGGTAGACTTCACGCTGTCTTATTTACCAATTTAGGGCAGTCGCTATTTCACTCTAGTGCTTATTTCTTACTGTTACTATTGCATTGAAAAACTGAAGTGTATTCTTCGCTACTCTGCTGCAGAGTGCACCTTGTGGGTTTCAAAGGCGGTCGAAGATCTGGTGCCTCTCTATTGCTTGAAGCAGTTTCATGACGTTTGCGGCGTCGTGGTGCCTCTTCACGACAGTGACCTCTGCGAAGATGACGAGAATGACGAGGAGGACGATGACGACGGCTATTAGGCTTGAAAGGTAGACGTGGGAAAAACCCACTTTAAGAGAACTGAAGAAGTAGACTGGCATAGTGTTCAATAAACACCCTTTTGTTCAGGAATGCTTGTTAATTGTGTAAGCCAATTTTTTACCCGTGGTGCTATAACTAACAAAAACGCTTTAAAATACTCGGTGTCTGAACTATCCCGAAGATGGACATCAAAGAATAACCATAATACAGAAATGAAACCTCGTGCAAATTTTTCATAGTAGAGTGAATTAGCTGCGAGAAATGTAAATATTTATTTTATTCAATAAACAAGTTTGAAAAGTACTATTCTAGTTTCTTAATTTCTCAGGTTTTTTTCTTAAAAATTTTCAGTCAAACAATACATTTTTATTGAGGATTTTGATTCTGGTTGTAATAAAAAGTAGCTAGTCTATGCTGAAAAAATATTTTCGCCACGTACTGACTCAACTCAATCAAATATAAAGGTAATTTTTGAGCAATAATTATGAAATGATACCTGCTGCTAATAAGAATAAAAAAGTTAAACACAAAATACTTACAGATGCCGCATCTTTGTTCACTTGTGTAGGCTAAGAACTCTTAGGGTATTTTGATTGGGCCCCACCGCTGTGGTCTAGTGGCTAAAGTACTCGGGTGCTGACCCGGAGGTCGCGGGCTCGCTCCCGAAAGCGGTGGCTGCATTTCCGATGGAGGCGGAAACGTTGTAGGCCCGTGTGCTCAGATTTGGGTGCACGGTAAAGAACGCCAGGTGGTCGAAATTTCCAGAGTCCCTCCATTGCGGCGTCTCTCATAATCAAATGGTAGTTTTGGAATGTTAAACCTCGCATATCAATCAATCATTATTTCACTTCGGTCGCTTCGGGGCAGTGCGGTAAATTTCAAAACGCGGAATAACGCAAGGTGGCTTCACTGGCGGGCACTTGCAAGTTGGCGTCCAAGGTGTCTTCACCATCACTAGAGGAGCTACTCATTCACCGTCATCGCTGTCTTCACATACGGACGCAATATACATATCTGTACTCGAATGATCACTCAAACAAGATGACAAAAACGAATAGCATCGAGTTTGTGTTCATGGGTCAGCTATGAATAGGTGGCCGCAAACGCATGCCATCTTTCCATACGAACATTGCAATACTGCCATAGAAGAAAACTAAACCCTCGAGAAAATGCTGTAAACTATTGGATGACCCACGAAACAACCTGTAAATGCGCACTTTTGCGTCTGAACGCTAGATGGGAGTACCTATTCACTAGGACGTGTTCTACTCACCCAAGGCAGTTTGTTGACAGTTTGGGCAGGACTAGCTCTGCTCGTGCAAAGCAATTAAGGGGATAATCAAGTAAATATCAGTGTAACATTCGTAGGTGCACGTGGAACATTAAACGGCACTTTTTTCTAAGGCTATTCTACGTGCGTGCTCATCATTTGTGAAGAAACTGACAGTCAAGCAAGTTAGTCTGGGTTCATATTTAAAAACGACACAAACATTTCGGGACACAAAAGAAGGAGAACAGAAATCGATGAACTGCTGCCTGCCCTCGTGTTTCGATTGTTTTGTGTCACGTGTATTGTGCGCCTGTTCCTAATTAGGATGAAACCCTAAGAACAATGAAAAAAGCCACCTGATAGCACTTCCAACCACATCATAAAAAGCATCCTCAAGCAAGCTAGTTGAAAGCAATTGATTTCCATAGTGCCTTACCAAAGGTTTCGAAGAAGTTATAAGTGTCCCAGCTAAGCAACAATTTGGTCCGTTGAGTTACACGTCCTACATTTTATCCGTTTCATAACAACAAAATGACTCCGTTGACACTTATGGTCTTTGATGACGTGGTCAGTGCGCTGCTGCCACGACCATTTTGACGCCAAAATCAACCAAAAAATGGTCGTATTAAATATCAGAACACCAATTCTGCTCGCACCGCAGCGGAAGAGGGCACGTGCTGCTATATTGTCTGCCAAGAGCTTGCTCCTGAAGAAAGCCACATCAAAGGGCGAGTTTGATTTATCACGATTACCAGTAATAAAACAAACTGTAGGCAAAACAATAAAAGTGAATTACACTCAGTTCGTAACATTGCATACGTAGAAAAAAAAGACAAAATAGAAGGGTGGAATAAACTAAGCGTATGGACAGATTAATCTGTGCATGATTAAGTCCCATTGAAAAGTAAATACCACCTAAATAACGAGTTCAAGATAACTTATTTATTTGCCATACCGCAAAGGCCCAAACATTGAAGAGGTTTTACATGAAGGGTGGGCTACCACAATGTCAGAGAGGATTACATGCTCGAACACAGCTTTGAAGCGGATGAAACTGAAGTGGGGCACAGCGTCAGGAGGAAGGCTATTCTAAATCATGTGAAGTCTTGAAAAAAAAAGGATGAAAGGTGCACTGTAGTGTTAGCATCTGGCAGATACTCTGCTTTTCTGTGGGTAATGTCGTATGGTTGATGATTGGCTAGCTTGATGGCAGAAGTACGAGTTCACGCAGTTAACGCATAATAGATCTTTAAAAGCTCATACTGCTTACCTGAAAAAAGGGGCCTATTAATATGTCCCGTTTTTGAAACTCTACGGTATGAGTCCACTTTGCAACTCACTGAGTAACTTCTTTAAGGATGAATGCGGGAATTTTTCTGCAGACACCCATTCTTTTAGCCTCAAGTGAGGTTTTTCTCTCGGCCTTGTGAGCACAACCTATCATGTGACCTCTGGGAAAAAAGTTCATGGGCGCGAAATTAGATGACCTAGCCTGCCAATGAACAGCCCAACAACTGATTGTTTTATTTAAAAAAAGTCGTGCCCATTCTACTTAGTGCAGGACTGCTGGGTGTGCTCATAGCCCATCTTGCTGATACCATAGAAGTGAAATACGTGACACCGAGACATGACTCAAAACCATCGGCTGCTCTTTGAAGGATTTTGTCTCCGACACGCTGTCCAGTCAGCGCCTGATAGAAGAATATTGGGCAAATTATCCCACCGCTGTAAATTCCACACTACACATTTAGGAACCACTGGTACTGGCTGGCATATATGAGCACCTAGGTTATAAAATACGACCTCCACGACGTTGTATTTCATAATCATGTTTTTGTATTGAAACATTAAACACCAGCTATTAGGATTACGAGTAGTTGCTGTGACCACGCAACAGCCTATTTTTTATTTATTTAGAGGGTGCTGCAGGCGACTTGAGTCAGGTAAGTTTGTTGTGTTGCGTTAATAAATGTGAAGCAATACTTTGCGTACTGTTACCTTTTGGCATATATGTACGTATCTATCTATCTATCTATATAACTAACTCTCTCTCTCTCTCTCTCTATATATATATATATGTATATATAAGGGAAAAAAAGTGTACACCTAAGAGCTCGTTGTTCTGTGTTTTGGCACAATATTAGTGAGGTCTAACAGACAATAATGCTAAGGAATGTATAGGGGAAGTTATTAGAACCATTGTAATGTAAATAGGAAGAAAGTAAAGTGGGTGAAAAAAAATTCTTGCCGTGAGCAAACAAGACAACATACCTCATATATATATGTATATATATGAGGTATGAGGTTCGACCTCATATATATATATATATATATATATATACACCAAGAAGTGCAGGACGGGCAAAACGAAAACTTATTTTTCCAACGTTTCAACCGGGGACCGGCCTTCATCAGATAAAAAAAACACTGAGCAACCACCACGGCAATCCCTACAATCACTCAATTGGGTTTTATATGTGAATCAAAAAAGAATTTAAACAGGCTCATAAAGAGTGTGCATTCATGGCCTTCATGGCTAAATTGGCGCTGACTGACACTCCCACGTTTAAAAAAATTCCCATCAAAAACTCAATAAAGTGGCTAGGGGGATAGCCGCTGTGGTAGCTGAGTGGTAGAGCATCGAACGCCTTATTCGAAGGTCGCAGGTTCGTTTCCTGCCCAAGGTAAGTTATCTTTTCACCCACTTTTCATTCTTCATATTTACATTACAAATGGTCTAATGACTTCCCCTATACATTAGTTGGCATTATTGTGTGTTAGATCTCATAATAATGTGCCAAAACACAGAAAACGAGCCCTTAGAAATACACTTCATTTCCTTATATATATATATATATATATATATATATATATATATATATATATATATATATATATATATATATATATATATATATATATATATATATATATATAGAGAGAGAGAGAGAGAGAGAGAGAGAGAGAGAGAGAGAAAGCATCGAACGCGTTATTCGAAGGTCGTAGGTTCGATTCCTGCTCATGGCTGGTTATTTTTGCACCCACTTTTTTTTCTTATTTACATTCCATTAGTTCTAATAACTTCCCCTGTACATTCTTTGGCATTACTGTCTGTTATATCTCAATAATATTGTTTCAAAACACGAAAAAACGAGCCCTTATAGGTATACACTCCTTTCCGTTATATATATATATATATATATATATATATATATGTGATAGATGCAACTTCAAAAGCGGTAGCAACGCCGGTACAGACGCATGGGTGCTTTTATTGCGTGATCATTAAGAAAAAGCTGACATGGGCCGCGTTTATCCGCCAAATGTAGACAAAAAATGTCAGAGTCCAAGGAGTGATCTAAACCCAGCGATCTGAGCGAAAACCAAGTATTCTACCAGGGAACCACGCCAGACTTAGCAACTGCGCTTCTGATATACCGCATTGTTCGTGAAGCATTCATTAGGAATGAAGTGATGACTATCCAATTTTTAAACATAAGTTATGTACTAGTACGCAACAGCCGTCAAGTTTTGTTAAGATCAACGGTAGTTAGGCGGAATGCACTGAAGGCGATTCACAGTTAATATGAAGCACAGGACGGCTTGAATATGCATTGGTGATTTTAAGTTGAGAGCATTAGGAGGAAATATGAGTGCATCTCTACGAAGTAAAAGATGACGTGTGGGTGAAGCAATATGCCCCGTAGTCTATAAAACCTCCTGATGCCAATGAATTGTGACGACGTTTGATTCGGCATAGCATAGTTACACCACGTGGCTATTAACGCAGGAAAATTTTTACATTTAAGTGGATAGCAGCTCATTGTGGGTGGCGTCTAAAAACAGCTTACGCTATCGCTTCGGTCAAAGGGCGATTACGTATCTGCGACAACTGTGGCTCTATCAGAACTGTTGAACACAGTGTAGAGCGTATCAAAATTACGGGCGTGCGCAATAAGAACATTGCACGATTTTGATAAACGAAAGAATTTTATCACTTTACGGTGTATTGTAATCATTATCCTGCCTCACACAACACAGGCGTGCTATGAAAATTTTATGCGGTATTTGGAGAGGATCATTGCACTTGTTTCTACTTTTGCATACTGCTTAATTGTTGCATTATACTGAATATTTGGGCACATTGGTGTGCGTGTGCGGAAAGGGCGCAATGGCGGCTCCATATATTGGCATAGCATGTCGGGGGTGGTACGTTGCATCTCAGGGAGGGGCGGGGAGACTCAACCCTGGCGATACCTTCACTTAATAGGGAGGAGGTGCTATGACCCCACGCCAACACTCCCCCCTTCCGCCACACTCATGAAGGGGAACACTACGCACGCTTATGCTAGGAGACTTATCACTTTTAAAGAGTGGGCAATACTTCATTCTTGAAGTCAGGATCACACCCCCAGTTGATTTTATTTCAAGCATTGCTACCTACACTGACGCGCCGCTTGGAAGAAAGCAAGTCTATTCGATGGAGTCATGCACACGAGTTGATGTGCGCTCTTTCCGCGTGACATTCAGCCACTACGTTTTAATCTTTGTCGAAGCTATGGAGAACTTGACTTAATTACGACTATAAACAATGACTAAACACGACAACAATCTAATTTTTGACGTGCAATTCTCCTCAGCATGACAATGCCATAGCATCGCTTGCGGATGCGATTATTCTCGAGCTCAGGAGACCACATTCTTTATTTTTCGGGAAAGCTCATTGTACTTTCACCTGAAGAACAACGTTTTTTATGCCTACCTCTCAGAGAGAAACAAGCGCTCGTGATCTGAAAGCTGGCCTTGTGCGGACAGTAATACTGTGAAATACTGCCTGTGTAAAACCACGCAGAACAACATGATGCTCGCGAAGGACGAAACAGAATGTACAATGAACGTACTTCGCCAAGTGATGCTGTAGCAATACCCATCAGCTGACTTCTACCCGTCCTGCCTATACTTCTTCAAACATAACAAAAAGTTTTCCTTTAGCAGCTGGTCGCACATCAGGGCAGGTTTAGCTGCTCGGAGGCCCGTGTGCTCAGATTTGAGTGGACGTTAAAGAACCCCAGGTGGTCAAACTTTCCGGAGCCCTCCACTACGGCGTTTCTCATAATTATATGATGATTTTGGGACGTCGAACCCCACATATAAGTCAATCAATTGATCAATCACTCACTCAATCAATCAAATGCACTTGGAACCGCGTTGTTTGTCGTTCACCCCCGCCGCCGTGCGGAATGCGTACATCTTCGGAATATAAACACACACAAACTGACTGATTGCCCACGGGAATTCGCAAAAGGTCGTGGACAGATCCTAAATTCAGCGTTAATATGTAGCAGAAACTCAAATCACCCAATGTAACATTAAGTGAATATAGATTGTTACGCAAGTTCCCTTGATTGGTGTGGGGCGGTGGCGTAGTGGATACAATCTCTGCTTGTCACGCCATTCGCCTGGGTTCAGATCTCCGGAGTGAAGTGCACGTGAGTGTGTGTTTTGCTTATCTTCAGTTTATGACTACTGTGTGCAGTGTTCTTGTGATGTATTATGCATACTCATGCGAAAAAAGTAAAAATAAGGAAGTAATAATCGATCAAAAAAAAAAGAATAACATTTTTTTCTCAAATAAGTTGTGAAAAAAATCGCACATATTTGGCCTTAACTGGGCCATACGTTTGTGACCTGAAATATCACTTCACCTGATCGGTAGTATGCGTTACTTCAAACAGTCAGTTTTGAACGGTCTCATCGCAACATAATGGCCTTGCTTATGAAAGAGCGAAATAATTTTAGACCACATAAAACAAGAGCCACTTAGAGAGGCCGCCCAAAAAAGCCGCATAGCCATGGACCACATTATAAAGACGGATAAAAGCGTCGCCTAAAGAGCCATTTATAGGAACCAGAAATTTGGCATGTTTTCCGTCTTACAGTGCGTTGTTTTAAGCAGTCGTTTGCTAAGAGTTCGCAGTCGTGCGGAGTATTGTAGACAACATTATTCACAATTATTAATTTTCACTGGCTGCAGTCAAAGGGTCACTGCATAAAGTCACTCAATAGCATGAAACTTCTTAATCTAGTGTAACACTTGTAGAAAATTTGTTATGATCTACACTTAGTTTTCCGTGTCGTGCTGCACTCTAGATACATTTGTTGTAGCTGCATGCAATTGCTCTACTAGGTCCTTGTGCTTGGAAAGTCGTCTAGACGTCTCTTTTTTTCATGCAATACAATATTGCACACAACAAAACTTTTTCCTTGTGTGAAGTAGGTTATAAGTTGAATGTGTGCTTCAATACGTGTCTTAGCCGCTCGTCTTCAGCAAAAATGCGATGCGGTGCGGATAGGAAGTTTCAGAATGTGTGTGTGAAAATGCTTTCTGGGGAACCTTTCGCTCCTCAAGGGTAGGTGGGTCATGTGCGCTGGAGACATCGCACGTTATGCGCGCAGTGCGCGGTGTTTCTCGTCAGCTCTGATGAGCCTGTCTCTCTGTCTCTTCGATTCTAACAACACGCTCTTTGAACTGACCATCCTTGGTTTTCGATTAAACCTTCGTCATTAGACTTTCCTAATAGAACAGCACACCTCCTGTCAATATGTTTATTTGTTACAAGTGCTCCGTCACTTGGAAAAATTCATCATCATAATTTGCTGTGTTTTACAAACTTTTAGCGCTACCACCTCCACGAGAATTCTCCTGTACATTTATGATTAGAAAAGCGTGAATAAATCACGTACCTACGTAAAAGTGAGAAATTACGCAGTCTTCCAAAATTTATTGGCACAAATTCGTTTAACACCTTCCGTTCGTGCATCGTTCGTCGCTGACCATCGTGGAGATAATACCAATGACTTTGGTAGTGCCTGTCTTTAGTTTTCATGCATCAGTGGCGTTGTAATCATTGTCGCGTTCTTCACCATTGTCATCATCCAAGCAGAGGTTGCTATCATGAAGGGGCACCGCGACGCCGCAGACGTCGTAAAACTGCTCCAGGCAGTAGAGGGGCACAACGTCCTCCACCGCTTTTGAAACCCACAGGGTGCACTCTGCAACAGAGCCGGGAGACATCTTTCTAGTGCTTGACAAGGTATTACGAATAATAATAATAATAATAATAATAATAATAATAATAATAATAATCAATCAGCCAGTCAATCAATAATTTGTTTAACGTGCCCAGGACACAATCGTAAGGTATTTGGCAGGCAAAAACAAAACAATTAAAGTAAGCGATGCAATACATTCTACAAAAAATAAGTATTAAGAAGAGCGAAAACGCACAGACAAAAAGAAATCAGCGCAAAGTGGGACAAATAAAACACAAGACGGGAACCTTAGAACAGCGGTGAAAATCAAAGGTAATATACGCAACTGTCTGAATGGCTTCCTGACGGAAAAGGACTAATAATAATAATAATAATAATAATAATAATAATCAATGCATTGCAGAGCGTTCAAACATCTCTAGTACCTTCATGCTCCTCGAAATATACAACGTGGATCAAAGGCAATTTTGAAAGATCACACAGGATCGAAGACACCATGCGCGTGTCTCAATTTCATCATATGGTAGAGAGTTCCGCCGCAGTTCATTGGATGCACACATTTATCGCACTCAACGACCTCACACATCGATACGGCATCGAAAAGAGATCAAAGAGTTTTCAATGCAAGTGTACATTGCCATGAGATTGGAACGATGTCAAAAACAGGAGTTGGTGCTTTCAAAACTGAACAATTTATACAGATTAGCTTGTGCCTGGAGACGAAAACATCACTATACAGGAACTACAGGCGATAGACTAATTAACCACCAAAGAGAGCGTCGGTCGTGAACCCTGTTCTCCACGACAAGGAGCGTCGACATATACAATACGCAATCGAAGATTCGGGCGTCATGGCTGTTGGCAGCGTTTTTTCTGGAATACACTCGCTGCTTGTGTGGGTGCGCTCAAACCTATTCGATGGTTTCAAAATGATGAGGAAGGCTCCCACAAACTACGGTGCAATTTGCGCAAGGCCACTCATGTGACCCGTCCGTCGCACTTGCGCGTGTAAAGGGCCAGTAAAACGAAACGCGAGAAAATAGTGTGCGTGTATGTGTAGAAGTACAAATAGGACCACGGATAATTATAAATCACCACACCAAATCTTCGTAGTGGGGCATTGCGATTTGAGCCTGTGAATTGTAACTCGGCAACTTGTCGTTTTAGACATGCTCCACCACGTGCCATCTGTTCTTTGGAAGTTTAACAGTGAGCAATTAACCGCTGGCTCTAAAAGGTATTGAAGGAACTTCGGCGCCTTCAGTATCAACCGAGAGATAGTGTGAAGGGTGCGCTTTCGAGCAACATTCTTAATTTTGTTTCAACGGCTCCTGGTGGTGGTGATAGAAAACGTTCATTAATCTATTCACCGATAGTGGTATGGATGAGGAGAGGATAACAAACACTAGGAGGGATTCCTAGAGCGCTGTGCTTGTAGCTGCCGCGCAGGCCCAGGCTATAGACACCAATGGCTGTTGGGCTTGGAGGTCCAAGCAGCCGAGTAGAACAGCTTGCCAACCTTCCCGGATGGATTGAGCAAGGTTAAGTTGGTAAGCGTAAGTTCTCTACCCTGGTGAGGCTTTTACGGCACGCAATGACGAGGTGGCCCGATTCCCGTGCGAATTCACCATGCGGAACGCCGGGCTAGCACTGCTTCAAACACCGTATACCATACTTGTACTTGGACATCGAGAGCCTTATCCTTGCAGACGCGCTTGATGCTGCACGTACGTAACTTGCAACGTTGACATGACGTGAAAGCTCAAATTACCAGTTGTTGCTTGGTCTGTTTTTGACATATAAACATGAAGGAAACATAAACGCTTCATATTACTAGTAATGAGAACTAACATACAGAAAGTATGGGAGATGCTGTTGAAAATAAATTTAATGTAAATGTGAAGAATAAAAAGTGGACGAAAATATTACTTGCTCCGGGCTGGGATGGCACCTGCAACCTTTGAATAACACATCTGGTACTCTGACAACGGAGCTATAGCAGTGGCCATCACTTCTTCTTTATTATGGGTCATATATGTTCATTTATCCATATAAATTCTAATCAGAGGTGCTGGTAGCGAATACCGCGCCCACCTTCCCACTCTTAAGCGGAAGCTTTCTTTTTTGCTGAGCTACCCCTTTTTATTTGTGAAGGTTTCTTTTTCACAGAGCTAGCCCTGTGTATTTGTTGGTTATGTCACTGTGCTCACATGTTGATGGGGCCTGAAGTCTCTAGGCTACTCAGTCTATATCGACTATGGAAAAGTACTTGTTCTATATAGAAACCGACGGGAATAGAATTTAAACATGTAGTTGCTTTCTCGGGAATAATTTATAGGCGAAGCATATATCTCACTTATTGCTTAAAACAACGCCTCCACGCCTCCAATGAATGCAATAAGAAATACCATAGTCAGCCTACTCCCTTGCTTATTACGTCTGACCTGCGAATAGTCTGTTTTCAAAGGAAAACATTATTGCGACTCTAAGCCAACACATCTTTTAAAAGATTTTCACAAAAGTATTTCTCTGCTAAAATAGAGATACATCTTTGAAACACTTCGTATTGAAGAAATAGATACTGCAGTTCATCGGCAGAGACTCTTTTTATTCATCTTCAGAATGGTGTCATCATCGGTGTAATATATCGTCCACCAATTTCCAGTGTGGCTGATTTCATTACTGTGATGGAAAGTACCATGATACCCATTGTGGCCTCTAAAGCACCTATTATTGTCTGCGGTGATATTAACATAGACGTGTCTGGAGATACATGTGATGATTACGTGTTTTTGCTACAATCAGTTAATCTGAGAAATGTTATTTCATCACCCACTCGCATAACAGACCACTCGGAGTCGATTATTGATCACGTGTTGTGTAACGCTGACCTGGATGTATCGGCAGGCGTATACGCTGTTGCTATTGCGGATCACAATCCCACCTTTCTATTTTTACCCCAGAAATACATTTGTGCTCCTGCCATACCTACCATTAAACGAACAACACGTGTCGACTATAATTCCGTGCAAAAACTACTACAAGGAACGAATTTTGATGCCCTCTATGATGAAGACGTGGACGTCGAGTGTGATAACATTGTAAAACGCATTATGGATGTCATTGAACGATCAACGCGTAGCTGTTCGCGCCGAAATTATGACCATGCCATATGTCCATGGATGAATAGAAATATACTTGAGGTTTTGAAGCTGAAAGATTTTTACTACGACAAATGGAAAAATAACAGGAGCAATGAATACTACCATCAAAATTTTAAGCTTTACAGAAACAAGTCAGTAGCAATGATAAGAAAATCCAAGAAGTGCTACTATACCAACCTAGTGAAAAAAAATGATGGTAACACGAAGAAAATATGGCAGATTGTTAAAGACGTCACTGGCATGGGTAGCAAAGAACGCATTACACCTGATAATCCAACTCGTGAAGTGGCTGACAACTTTAACGATTACTTTACTAATATTGGTCTCAGCCTTGCGAGGAAGTTCCCTACTCATATGCAGAATTTAAATGCACCCTGTACTGTTACCAATAAGTTTGATTTATGTGATGTAACTGAGGATGACATCCGACAAGTAATTAATAAGTTACCAGGGAACAAGGCAGCTGGACACGACGCCATATCATCAAGGATTTTAAAGGAGAATATTGATGTATTGTGTGGTCCCTTATGCCATATATTTAATCATGCATTTTCCTCTAAAACTTATCCTAGTATACTTAAGACCGCCAAAGTAATACCAGTGTACAAATCTGGTGATCGGAATCTTCCGGACAGCTACAGACCAATATCTGTTCTGAGTAGTATTAACACTACGCTTGAAAAACTAATTTCGTCGCAATTAAGGCGCTTCCTGGGTGAACAGAATGTACTTTGTCCCCAGCAACACTGCTTTGTTGCAAACAGGTCCACTTCAACTGCTGTTTCGATGCTTACGCAATATATTAATTCCGCGCTACATGAAAACAACATAGCAATAGCAGTATTTTTAGACATACGAAAGGCATTTGATGCTATTAGTCATTCCATTTTACTGGAAAAAATGCATTCTTATGGGATAAAAGGTAACTCGCTTGATTTTTTTTCTAGTTATCTATCGGCACGCAAACAAAAGGTAGTCATTGGTGACATCAAATCATCCTACGGTTATATTAAATGCGGGGTGCCACAGGGTTCAGTTTTGGGCCCTATATTGTTCTCTCTTTATATTAATGATGTCCCGCGATCCCTACAAAGGTCAAGGGCACTGATGTACGCGGACGACACTGTTTTAGTTTTCACAGGACACTCCTTAGCAGATTTACAAAATGACGCGATGACCGATTTATCGAACATTTCGGAATGGTTTGCCAGGAATCAGCTGACAGTTAACTGTACTAAAACAAAGTATATGGTGTTTCACTCTCGTAGGAAACACATTGACGCTGAATCTCTTAACCTAACAATAAACAACACTCCTATTCAACAAGTTCCTTGTTTTAAATATTTAGGCGTCACTTTTGATGAACACTTACACTGGCATGAGCAAGTACAAAGTGTGTGCGCAAAGCTAGCCTATGGCTGCTATTCTCTAATAAAAGCTCGCCAATATTTTCCACAAGCTATACTCCGCACACTCTACTTTTCATTGTGTCATTGTCACATAGGTTACTGTCTGGAATCGTGGGGTGTGACGTACAACAGTTATCTAAAAACTCTTGAACGACTTCAAAAGCGTACACTGAAAATCATAAGCCAAGGTGAATCAGTAAGTAATATTTTCCAATCACAACGCATTCTCTCGGTTCCGATGTTGCGTGACTACAAAATTGCTGTTTCAGTAAATAACATAATTAATAGAAATTCACCTTTGCCTGCTGATCTTTTTTCAATTCCTAAACGCAATACGCGACATGCTTCGAATGGTAATTTCAATCTGCCCAAATGTTTTAATGTTTACGGAGAAAGACTGATACAGTTTAGTGGAACAAAAATATGG